GAAGAATTCTGTCAGTGTTCAAGATCAGTTGTCTGTTAGCAAAGCACCATCGCGGCAGAAACTTTATCCATGCTCAATGGACCGGATGGTGCATCACTTCAAAACTTACTCTCCAGTGCTGAAGCCACAGTTTTGAGCTACCTAATCGTTTCTATTTCGTCACTCTTTACTTAATGGAGTGTGTCGTGAAGAGAAAGATGTTATTAGGCACTTCCCTCATCCGTGTGAAAACCGATAGATTGGGGGAAGAGAAGTCACCAGGTGATATCATAATCGACGATTGATCACCTTGCAAAATGGAACACCTTTTGTGTCTAATCACGCATGAGTTGATAAATGAAACTGGTCGACTTGGAGTAGAATGACGCCGGTAAGATAATTGATGTGTGTGATGGGGAAAGGCAGATCCAGTCATTGGAAGCTAACAATGATGGATAACGTTATCGGATTGAAAGTGCAAGATCATGGAAAACCCATTGTTCCCACAAGCGCGTAAAGTGGGCGGTGATTTGCGGGAGTAGATGGCTATGGCCCAGACCATTGACAAGACTTGAAAATCCATCGTTTCGATAAAATTCTCTTGATTGTTTGCAGAGAGGGAAGAACTTTAAGCACAGTGACAGTGCCAGCAGACACAATAAAATGAATGCTATTCCCCGTTGCTCCGTTGCCTAACCTTCCTCACCGTTTAATGCAAAGAGAAAGCTACCATAAGAGATTGACTCCACTGGCAAACCTGATTGGTTGAAATTGATGTTGGAAGTGAAAAGATTACAGAGTTCATCTGCAAAATATACGTATTGGATGTAATATTATTTTCGTTCAAATAACCTTGTCTCTCTAATAGTATAAGAATATACCCAAAGTTCGTATTCCATTTTTAAATATTGAATTCAGCAGGTATGTCAACATATTTCCCCAGTAAATGATTTGAGATATTTTCCTGAAAATACGTTGTCATTTTGAAATGTCCTTTGGGTAGAAGTTCTCAGTTGTACTCAGATTTATCCTCTGGTGTAACGGGACGAACAACGAATAAAGCGTTTTGTCTCTTTCGTGTCTACGCGTAGGAAATGAATCTACAAACTAATAAATTTGGCTACCAAAAAGGCAAGGCCATCTAGGTATCCCACAAACATCGTCAAGCATTGTTTCGAATGAGAATCATCACCACCAATTCCACCATGATCAAAAAAGAGATTGATTCGAGTGGTAAATATTTAGCTTATTCAGATTCATATGCTCAGATTAACCCATTCGATCAATACAGGGCCTAGACACTATATAAGTGATTAGGTTCCACTTCTTGCAAGTTTGTGGAATTCCCACAAATCAGATGACTCTAATTTGCGATACAATTCTTTGGGAGATCTGACAGCTGTTTCATCCCTGCTGGGACCCATGAGCACTATGTTTGAGCACTAACATTTACTAATTTCGCCATAACGATGTTCGTCAACAATGCATCAAATAATGAGCTCCTTCTCACTGTACATCCTTGCGTACTTGTTTCTTCGTTAAACTACAATCTCATGCTATCGATACACACGACCAGAAATTACTGGAGTTTGCCTACCGCTAATTTAACGGCTTTCCCAAATTTACCGACCGAAAGTCCGACGAGTGCGACGATATTTTGGAACTGGTCATTAAAAAATAATGGCAAACCTTCCAGTGAAATCAGTCTACTTGTTGTTTGCAGGGATGCGAGCAGTGCAATTGATAAAATCAAAGGAGTTGTGTGGATGAACTTAGCATATTTCGCTCCTGACTAAATTGAACATTGTTCTGGACAAGTTTATGTTTGTTATGTTTTTTGATATACATACATATGCATTTCCTTAATCTGCACTTCGAAATCTCACCATCTTCTTCATTCACATGCCACTCACCGCTGGCACTGAACAACGCTTTTCTGACCGAAATATGTTTTCTTGTTTGGTCGATACATTGGCCTGCAAACGTTGAGGGCAAGAATCATAAACACGCAAATCGCACCAGCAGCTGTTCCATCAGTTCGCCTCATTCTTACAGTAATTATTCCATATGGTCTTGTTTGCAATAGAGCGCTAATTGAAAGCGAGGATTGAAGAGCAAAAAACCTATACGCGATAATCCAGAATCAATAGCTTGCATGAAGCTTTAGGTTGAGAATAGATCCCTGTCGAACACTATGCTGAGAATAGAATTTAATTTGATGAAAAAATACAGAACGATAGATTATTGCTTATTGATGACAAACTATTTCTACAAATTGTAACTATTTCATTAGGAACTCTTTTGCACTGATACGTATACAGTGGCAGAAATATTACCACTAGTGCACTTGAAACACTGTAGAGAAAAATGGAATATTCATCAAAATTTTTTCAGCGTTATAATTATATACCACCGGTCAGCGAGTATCACATTTTATATTGTTCCAAATGTAAAATAGCAGAGTGAGGAACACGCAGGCACACGCGGACACGTGACACACATGCCTTGAGAGCCAGCCAGATGGCCGGATGGATGGATGGATGGACACAATAGTTACCCAGCGCATCATTTTCACCCCACTCGGCAGTCGATACTTTGGCAATGGCATCCGTTCGTATCAGATTGGAATTAATCATTCATGCCGGTGATTGTTTGCCGTCACCTTGGAAACATTATGGATCCAGTTATTGCCTCATCTTGATAATTTCTTACGCAGTTCTATATACACGATGCGTACTGCTGTGTGGGTCAAACATTTTGTTATACGACTCAGCGCTTCAGTTTACCAAACTGTTATCATTGCATCGGGGTTCAGGATGGACCAGACAATGTTATCTTATCTGAGTGTTCCCAGTGAATAGGATATTTAGTCAACTGGACATCGTAAACGCAAATGTTTGCTCTTGTGCATGCCGTATTTGAAATAAATTACCTACTTTGGAAACAGGGTAGAGATTACTTGCTTGGATAGTTAAAAGTTCCGTGCCTAAATTAAGCATATTTAGTTATTTTACGTTGTGTATGAGCGGATACAATAAACCGATTTCACTTGGCGCCTAGTACAATCGGTAACCTTAGCGAAAACCATGGTTATGAATAAATTGACTCCGTCAAATCATATCTCTTCAATGATTATTTTTTACCGCGAAAACTGAACAAAACACAATACATTCATGCATACATTGGTCAGGTTCAGAATGCTTCCAATAGAGTCATAACTCTGAAGGCTAGTGCTAAGATCAGCGGGATATGCAGCCTACAATAAGCTTGCAATGATGGGTCTGGTCAGCTGCCCGGTGGCCAAGTGCGTAGTATGTTTGCGTTCGACCTGTGAGGTCCGAAGTTTGATCCTCGGAAGAATCGATGGATTCACACTGCCGATGAGACCCAGTCAGGCAGAAACCGTTGCACATTACTTCCTAGCCTTCAGTTCACGAGTTATTTATCTTTTGTACAACGAACTTCATCATTTAAAATACAAAAGGTTTTTAAGGCCAATGTGCTTTCACCCGTTAAATGCTAATTGGACTACGTTTCGCCCTTTCTACTTTGAGGAATGTAAGCAGCAGAAAGTTGTATTAGCACATAGGAATCGCTTTATTTGAATAGATATTAGATTAGAACCTTTTCCATAAACATATCATAAACATATTTCATACCTAATAGTTTAGTAGAAGCTAGATAGCAGAAAAATGAGAGAGAGAGAGAGGAAAACACTCAGGCAATAGAGGAAAGGGATGTGCGTTGGATATTGTTTGTTTATTTGTTATTGTTTGTCTGTCATTTTCCGGTAATGGTTTTGTTCAAATTGCACAAGGATCAAAATCTTGCTTGCTGTTTTCATTATTGTGATAGATATGCGACGGACTTGTGATCATCTACTAGATTTTCACAACTCGTCGGCGTGGCACACGTCGTCGTTGACGATCCCGGTACACCTGAAAACCAGCAGGAGGTTTGAGATGACAATCAGGTTCACGTGACAAGTTTTGATTCAGACAAAATGCCATCACCGTTGCTTTCGTGACGAAGTTTACAATGGACGAAAGCGTTGAGTTCAAAAACATATCAGCAGTGCTTTATTAGCATAATAACAGTAACGTGAAATGCTTTGGTGTACTGAAGTTCTCCGAATCTCACAGATTTACTAAATTTGGAATAAAAACAGCCAGTTGTTAGAAACTGATAGTTTCTGACGCATCAATTGGGCATATTTGATAACTGACTCATCAAAAAGGAGAAAATAAAATGGGTAACTCAGCGAAGTCATAGACACTTCCTACCAGTTCTTGTATATATAAATGTCAGTCAATTACTGAATCAGAAACCATCACAATTAAATATGCCAAATAGTTGCCAAGTCAGCACCATTGTACAACAAAATGGAACAAAGTGAATTCGCAGATGGCAAACAAAGACTGGCGCAGGTTAGTAATAACAGCTCAGATTGTCAGAACACAATCAACACCTTTAAGTAATAAGATATCACGCGATAATGTAACTGATCTGTTTATAATGATCATTTATACATACTGAGTGAGAAAACCCTCTTCAGATGCAGATTACCAACCGAAACAACCCAAACACAACCCTGCTGCTCATTTACTGAGTGCCAGAATAGATAAATTAATAACCTTCTTTCTACGAGAAAAGTAAACATTATAACCAAATGAGAGGTAACTTAAGAAACACATTCAATGTTCGCGAATCATAGTTTGCGGACCCATTGACACCATCACAAGGCATGTAGTTACGCCTCGTGTTCACTTCAAAGAGTGCACGATGCACTTTTGTTCCTTTGATTAGTGACCTGATCTAATACGGCAACCGGGAACACCTATATTACGACCACATATGTGGAAATACCAAACCAATGACCGGATGCTTTGTTCGACAGGACGCTCTTTTATGTACTCGGAACTCAAGAGAATCAATTTTATGACAACTAAATTGCTTGTGTGTGCAGATCATCTAAGAGAAAATGGATAACACAGAGCACTCTTGTTTTTCACATGTACAGTTCATGGTGAATTAAGTGGAATAAAAATGCGACTCACTCTTCGCGATCCACGAACTAGGTCTTCCGTAACAGTCACGTCGATCGTGCTACTAGCAGTTCCATATGGATTCTTTGCGGTACATGTGTACTTGCCAGAGTGTTCCGGCATAAGCTGACCTCGGGCAATTCTATTCGGTTTCGTTCGTTAATACGGTTTGGGCCCGGCGGGGGGGGGAGGGAGCGGTAAGATGATGGCAGCAAGAAATGGAACGAATATATTAGAGCTTGCTTTGAAAATCGTATGGGTGCATGACGAATGCCGATTAATTTTAAGGAACTTTCTGCTATTCTTTTCCGATGAGCATTGAATAATTTGACGTTTCCGCGCGAAAGCTTCTAATTTACATATTCGTCTCTGGGGGAATACACTTTTCCGGGAGCATTTTCAATTTAATGTGAATTAACACCACCGGAAATTCTGTCTCGAACAAGAGAAAACGAAAAAGATTTAAAGGAAACTTTTGTGAAAGAACAATGGTTTATCCTCTATATGTACAAAATGCACACAATAGTCTAAAGGTGTCTACCCGACTAACGCGTATTTCTTCATGTTTTCTATTAAAAGGCATTGAAGTAGTATAGATACTATTTTTTGGAATAAGCTTGATGTATTTTCCATTCGGATATCATATTGTTTATATTAAAATGTTTATATCACAATGTATGTTTATGCATCTATGTATTTATATATCAAAATGTAACAAACTACCCTCAGGTGTGCTGCCAAACTTTTCAAAAGGTCTGATTTATAGGAAGTTGAAATAAGCAGGACGTTGATTTTGAAATTGTGATGTCATTAACTCCGCTAAAGTCTGACTGCATTATATTTGCGTGTACAACTTTGTCATTCTCAGTTACCAAAGTCCTCTAATACTCAATTTAAGCCTTTTTCTTCCAACGTGACATTTAAATATTTCGTAAGACGTTAGTTTATAGTACTTCAATGAGAAATGCATCTGTAAAACTATTTTATCGTTTTATTAAATAATTCCTACTGAAAACCGACGTTGCCTTCGAAAACATGGAACAAAACATATTTCCCTTCTCAATTTGCGCAATTACCAATCAGAATGAACCCGTGTACAAACTTTTTTAAGCTCGTCTAATCATCCACTTCAAATCATCGTGAAAATTCCTGTGGATACTATGTAAAGGAACTATTATAGTTTCTATTTGAAACGCGGTAAATTTCCAAGTCAAGTCTACAGAAAGATCGCAAACTTGCAGTTTGGAAGATTAGCATACAAAGTGAATGGGCACCCATATTGCCAACTATTCATTTGTGGTAAATCAAGCTTTGTCAACAAAACTAAACAAGAACATACACAAACAACCATTCATTACCATACATACGCGCGCCCTTTGACTGGCTGCGCTGCAATTTCGTGTTATCACATCTCATCAAATTTGAAGGATTTTTTGTCACTATTATGGCCTTCGTTCGTCGATATACCAGATCGGAACTACTTCTACTCAAACACTCTAACGGATTCACATCACGATTTGATTCAACCACACTCAATTCTCTCGGATTTCGGAATTCACACAAAAAGCACAACCGGGCCGGATGGCAAGTTGCTCTTAACTGCATCCCTCCGTTAAAAATGTCCGTCCCATCACTGCTGAGTATGAAAATACGTTCATTTTTCACGAAAATCTCGGATTTATCACTTGTTCTGTGTTCCCGGATTCACGTTTATACTTGTCTGATTTGCATACAAGAATCTTGGCTGAACCCTCATGTTGCTGACGCGTTAGTGTCCATTGACCGATTTAACCTGTACCGGCAGGACAGGGAATCATGTGGCAAGAAATCCGGTGGTGGTGTGGTTACCTACGCCAACACGTCGTGGTGTGGCAAGTCAGATGCCGCTTACTCATACTCAACTAACAGTATTGATTGTTTGTCTATTCGGTTTTACTCTAAATTCTTCCGACATAGAAGTACCTTCATAACGAACCTATATATTGCTCCGTTTTGTACGCGAAATACCATCTCGACATTCTTTGACTCTTTTTTTATCTTTTCTTGTACCACTTCTTGAGGACAACCTGCACATTATTGTAGGTGATTTTAACCATGCTTCAACCCGGCCTTTATGCGTTTCACCGACCAGAGGTAACTCCGTTTTAGATAGAATTATAACAAATCACCCCGAATTCTTCTCTCTCCATCTCCGTGCACCCGTATCAACCAGTGCTCATTGTCTGCTCCTTCTTAGACCTAAGATATATTCCCGTTCTGACTTCCAGTCATTTAAGCAAAGTAACCAAATCAAAATCCGTCTTCAAAACACGTCACTTAAATGAATTCTTCTCCTTCAAAGAGCCCTGTCCCACGCAGTTTCATGGTTCTCCCTTGAGCCTTCGTTGAACAACAACGTTAATCTTTTTGTTGATACAATCAATTCCATCTTTGACATCTGTTGCCCGGTTGAAACCTTATTTCTCTCCGATGGTCGTATTGCATCTCCGAAACTCAAAACATTTAGGAGACACAACGAACATTTCTACAAATCCCGGAATTCATCAATGGTCAGCTACATTTCCACCTTGATGAAAAAGAAATCAAGCGTATCAATACAACCTATGGGAATCAACTCCTATGCAGCCAAAACAGGCGATACCTATGGAAAGGAATTCAGATCTTATGTGGAGCGAATTCCAAACCCGATGAATGTAGCGTGGACGTTGGGAGCATAAATTAGGCATTTGCACATCCGACTAGTGATCCTCTTGTTTCATGGATTCCGGAAGACGCAGCTAACATAACCATCTTCTCGAGAGAAGAAATGTTTAAACTCCTCACAACTAAATCATCCACTGGTATTGGTCCTGACGGTTTATCTTCATCCCTTCTAAAGCATGGTGCCCTGGCTCTAACGGATGCTTTTACTTCTATCCTCAACACGTCACTCGGTTCATATTCAATTACCGATTGCTGGAGACCCGTCACGATCATTCCCATTCCAAAACCGTGCAGATCCAGCACCCTGTCCAAACGTTTATGTCCCATTGCTCTAAAGTCATGCGGTCTTAAATTGGCAGAACATGCCATTCTCAAACGTCTTTCTGCTTCCTTCTGTACCCCTGAAGACCATCTCCAGTTCGCTTATAAATCAAACAGGTCCACTACTTTAAAAACAGAACTCAGCAGACTCGGCTCGGTAGGAAAACGTCTAAACCACTCGTGAACAATTCGGGAGTACTACAGGGTGCCGTATTGTCTCCGTTCTTGTTTTCCACCTACATCAGTAATCTTTCTGCGAGTTCTCCAGCCCAGTTATTTAAATATGCTGATGACGTAGCCCTCTGCCAAGCCATTTCTGTGCCTGAGGACCTTTTACATTTCTCAAATAATCTATTGCATATTCATTAATTTTCTGTTCGTTTTGGACTGTCTCTTACTTTATCCAAGTGCTTCGAATGCAATTTCTCCCTTTCTCGATCTGCTTATCCTCGTGATCCGTCTGTCATAAATACGGATCCCCTAACTAGAGTTGAATCTGTGAAGTATCTGAGAGTCAGAATCGACACTAACTTAAAGTGGACATCCCATATTTACAACTCTGTACAGAAACTTCGCAAATTATCTTTTCAACTTCGAAGACTTAGGCAGTGCAATGCCAAGCAAAAATCCTTTCACTTTTTGTTTATAAATGTGTTTTCCCCGTTCTTCTTTATTGTTCTCCGGTGTATTTTGCTGGTCTACTAATGAAAGACTTCAAAATTCTTCGTCGCGGTTTATCGATCATCAGTCGTGTGTCTTTTAACTAAATGCTGCTCTCATACGTCTACACGTTCTTTTTATCGATTACTACCCTCTTGCATTATTCTCTACAGAAATTTCCCAGAATCCTTGTAAACCGAGAGCGCGCTTCCTCAGAATTTCTCAGCAACCTTAAAGGCTAAATATTTTACTTGTATCTTTCCTTCTATTGATGAGATGTGCAAATTTTTGACTGAAATGCGAACATTCTGTTCTCGCAAAAGTCTATACAAATACAAATACTGAAATCAAATAAATTGCATTAACATACGCAAAAATGTATATACGTCCATAAGCATATTTCTTGCCCAAGAATATCGGGTGTTTTCTTTGCTCTGGTGCAGTTCCAGATGGCTCAAAGGTCCATTCAACAAGGGATTCTGGAGAAGAGGCTTCGTCTGTGCACTGTAGAGACATTTCATCGTTGACGGTATAGGTGATAGAATCTCCACTGTAAATGGCCGGAGCAGCTGTTTCGAAACCACGAAATAAGGTAATAGGTAAGGTTTTCGTAATACCAAGCAATGCTACTCGTACCTCAGAACGAAAAGACAATTAACTACAAACCTTGAACGAAAGTGCCTATTAAATCTTCACATTGTCCTCATAACCAGTTCTCAGGTGATTAATTTCACTTGAACACATTTTAGATCAGTGATAATATGTACGCAGAACTAAAATTTATTCGCCTCCCACCCGTGTACATGAGCAATCCCATATCACGCAAGTCACAGAATTCTCGGTTTGCTTCAATGAAATAAGGTTAACCCTTTGTCATTATCCATGTGGTTCAATCCGATCAAGAGATAGATCAGTTTGTTGATGTTTCGGCACACGTAAAGCACCACAATCTCTTCACATCTACCATCATCTTCGTAGCATTTTTTTTGTGCATCTTGTTGAGGCATAACGAAGAAAGTTACACTTTGTTATGTCAAACTCGGTGGATTCCGCCAGGTTTGAATTCTGTGTACATGCTATCATAATTAAGTCGAAATTAGTGGATCCAGTCTACTATAGCGCTCCAATCTTCCCGAAATTTCCGCAGCCAGAAGCAGAAAATATTATATTCATTGAGTTCACACAAACAATTTTTAACATCTGCCTAAACTTTCAAATTTTATGAAACTGATGAGTTGAAGAAGCAACTCACGCCATTCTTCCACTTCAGCTTGAACTACCTTAAAGCACTCATATCCGAAAGCACTACTTGCTTTTCCCCTTCCGTACTAGTGGGTGTGCGTATGCTGATGTACTCAAACGAACATATCAAATGAACCAGATCAGTGTCCCGCGCATGTCACAAGTCTTATTTTCCCCAGTAAACACAAACACTTATGCACACACATTCATGTAAATTCTGAAACTACCGGGTTTTGGACAGGTGATATATGGTTATCAAAAGAAAATTTATGCACTGTTTACCCTCCTTCCCGTGCAATGTTCTCCGATCCGCCAATTCTACTGACCACAATTCAAGCAGACTAAACCATGTTAACGAAGCAACAGGATAGCTATCGACTGCTACAAGCAGGTCACACTAGCTATTTCGTAAGAATGATTGACATTTTTGTCCGAAAATTGGATCAGGTGAGGACCACACAAATCCCGTTTTTTGTGTAGGCATACATATAACACGTTTCTCTCCTGATCCAAATCTGATGGAAACTTGTTTCTCTTTATTTGATTTGCCATCCACACCCAACAAGCGAATGATTGGAAAATAATTAAAATTAGTGGCTTTAGCATTGCATTCGGCGTAAATTGTTCGCGTGTGAAAATTACCTTTTACCACATATGAAAAAAGTGCGAATGGCCCGGATAAGCAGTGATTGCTGAAGTATTCGAAAAATTCAAGTTTCGATGTGGTGTGCAATATCACTTACATTTATACACTCATTCCCAGATTTATAACTCTCCGGAGCGGGAAGTAAGAAAATTCAAGTGGTAGATGCCCGCATCCAGTGGGTAAAGTAGTTACCCTTAGTTTCATTTCAGTGCTTGCTGATCTTTCTGAGTTACATCAGGAATCTAAACCTATCATGGAATTTTCAGTAGATAGTTAGGAATTTTCAGTGCACATGTTTGCTAATCTCAGTGCGATTGAGTATATGACGATACTCGCAATAGGTAGCTACTGATGGCAAATCTCGTTATACGCTGCAGCAATTTGCTGTAGAATAGTTCACACATTGGACACTTTCTAAGCCGGATTACAAATATATATCGCCTAAAGCGGGAACAATCAGAGTTACCCGATAACTCCGATAGCTTTATTTACCATACAAATTGAATTAAATGCTACTGATTATTCGTATCACAAAGATATCTAATTGTGGTTGACAATAGTTTGTATGATACTGCCATTCTGGTGACAATATCACCCCAGAGCAACATAAACGATTATTGTGAATCTCGTGATCTATCAAGAACGCGCGCGAAAACCTAACCTTATCATGGATTAGTACGATCTTATAATGTTTGAGATCGGTGGGACATACTTTACCAGCTTATAAATATTGGAAAAGGGATTAATAGTGACAAACCTAACCATGGTCTGTTTCAGTGCCTTGTTTGCGTATTCCATAACACTTTCTAAGATGAGGATCTGCTCAGTGTAGTTTGTGCCTTCGTACTAAATATAACATTGTTTTGTATCTCCCGCGTGGCCCGGGTTAATTCAAGATGATTTTCCAGCCCTCTGGTCACTGGATGAAGGGAGAGATAGTGTGGGATGGCCTAATTTGACAGGTATATTTTCCTCTTCCAAAGAGAATAATTTATTGAATGCATTTTTTAAAACGTGCCTGTCTCTTTACGCACTCACACATACATGCGCCAGATCAACCCCCCCCCCCACTT